AAATGAGAGGACGAAGAACCAAAATCCGGGGCTATAATCGGCCAGGTGAANNNTCATCTATGGAAGTTGGCTAAAAACTCTGATTCCAAACCAATTAAGAACCACCCACACACCTCGGTCGTGGCAATAGTCATCAGCTCAACTGCGTATCGAGGTCTATCTATCTATCTATATTTACACAACTATATTCATAAAGCCTGTGTTCAGACTGTTAGTCAAATAAATCATGGTACAATAATCTGTATAAAAGAATAAAAAAGGTTCATGATTTGCTTGTGAGCGGAATACCGCTAGGTTGCCCAGGTCAAGACAGGTGAATTATCTTGAGGAATCCATACTCGGAGCTTTCAGCTAGCCAAAGCCTAACCCGCAAGGCAGCGTGGGACGGTGTATGTGAACCGCAATCTATTGGGGGGCCAGAATCCAATTTGTTGGACATTTTCAAACGTTCAAGGTGCCCAATATACCTGATATCCGATCGAACAGAATTTTATTGCACAGGGTCATGAAATTAGGAATTCCTGTGTACAAGGTCTACGCAAAAAGCTACACTTTTATGATAGCGGTTGGCTTCATTTAGATTACCTACTGACAAACACTGAATTGACTAGTTATTAAATACGATTTTAGAAAGTTTTTCTACCCTGAATGCCACATTTTTTGAATTACCAAATTGATTCTTTGAGCAAATTGATATTTCACTTTTGAAAAGCGATTTTATTCCGGATCATGTGCTTAGGGGATGTAAAATAGTTTGTTATACAAACACGTGCTGGTCTAACACATCCATCTTTGCTACTCGGAACCTAGAAGATATTGTTTCGGACAATTCGCAAAATAATCTCTAATGAAAACACTTTGAATTCCTGGCTACAAGAGGCACTGAAGGATCTTCCACTTACGGGGAACCCTCTCTCTCTCTCTCCCTGTGAACTAACCACATTTGGTTCAAATCCGGACTGAAAACTAGCAAATCAATATTTTTGAGAATCGGATATAACCAGCACAAGGTACTAACTTAAAATGTATGTAATGCGGGTTTGTGGTGCTTACAAAGTGTAAAATCAGCCCATCATCCTTTAGGGAGATAGTTGTGCAGGAAGCAATTGTTTATGGTTTCTATCGAGATCTGCCCAGCGATGTAAGTTTTACCGTCCCCAAAACAGATCTGACTGTTGAATTGGTTTCACAGTTCGTCACATCCGTTCAGAAATGTGTTAGCCCTCTGGAATCGTCCAAGTTGATCTCCATTACCACTATGAAGGTTATGTGATATCATTCCGTTTTCTCTCCGATTTGCTTCCTGACCAGATCGATTGTGGATGTGCAATCCGATGTTCCATCTTCCAGGGTACTGCTACAAATCACCCTTACATATCGCAAGTATATCAATTACTTACTTGAGCTATTCCTTAAAGGCTGTTATGTATTTGAATAAAACAATATGAACAGAATTAGTTATATTGACCATCAACTTCGCGCGCTCTCAATCAGCTGTCCAAGACACATTAAATAGGTCGCAGTACCATACCATAGATGGACATTTACATCATTACATGTGTCCAGGCGGAAAGAACCGGGTTGTTGACTCATTACCAGAGTTATTTGGTACCTTTCAAAGGAGACGGTGTAATTGTACTGGTTGGTCGTCGGCTTCGTACTGCAGTTGAGTCTACCTATCCCACCGTGAAGCTGATCATGATTCACAGGACAATGAACTCGCTAATTCTGCCAAATATAGACAGCTTCAAAGATTCAGTCACTTCCAGCTGCATTTATCTTTTTCAATGTAATTGCGATTCGCGGTACGTTGGAAGGACTGAACACCGATTGTCGATCAGAATAAGTGAACATTTTCCGAATGGTTTATCACTCCGAGGAGGAAAACTTCCAGCAGGCGCGGTTGCACGACATTTGCTGGATACCGGACACTGCATTGACAGACGCAAATTTTTCCACGTTATCCTGCAAATTCGAGGCATAAGGATGCTTATGTTTGCCGAAGCGGTTGTCGTTAGCTGTTTAAGGCCTGACCTAGGCGTGCAAAATGCCTTAGTGATTCACTTGCTATTACCATGGTTACTGCCTCCCCTTTCCTTCCGCTCATCTCAGCCGTTCCCTTACCTCATCATTGAAACTTCGCCCTTCTCATTTCCATAGTAAGTAACTCGTTTTGGCCCACTTGAATGACCAATTTTCCACTCCGTCACATTCATTACGTCCGTTCTAATTCATTTCTGGTTGTATTTATTTTGTATTACGTAACTGTTTTCACCTCTCCTCCACGGTTAATCACTTTTAATTGCGTAACTGTTTTATACTAGCATTTCATTCTTCTGAGTCTTTGTGATCATTATCCTCGCCTCCGCATCACTCAGCCCCAGATAACTTTGCTAGTGACTCAGCAACCCAGTTCTTTACGCCTGAACCATGCATTTATGCAAATGGCATATATGGTATTCTTTTTATAACATTTTGATCTTTGTTATTTGCGTAGACAGCTGATTGAGAGCACGCGAAATTGATGGCCCATATAACCAATCCTGATCATATTGTGTTACTTGTTTTATTCGAATGGATCAAAGGAAAGGATATTGCCGTTCTTTCAAAGGGCACTGTCCTGTATATTCCGTGATTTACTCCAAATACATGTTACGGACTGGATTCTTTGAAAACTACCGGGTAACCCTAATCTAGGGATGTGTGAATATCTTGGTCAGTTACGCAAGTATGGTTTCGTGTGCCAACACGACCGTAAGACCTCCTCCGGATTTTATGAACATGAAGCACACTCACAAATTGATTCTGTTGGTTGTTTGAACTACATTCATAAATCAGTCCAACGTAAAATCGCTGGCGGACGGTACGCTAAAACACTCCTCACTCGTTTCAGGAATATGATTCGAGATCAAATCGATCTATTCGGATCAAATTTGTAATCCGCTAAACATGGTGTACGCATGGCTAAACACTTGGAAATTTATGATACCTCGTATGTTGATTGATTGATATTGATTGATTCGACTGACTATCCTCCGGACTTCACCTTCACACATACAATCCTCAGTTCATCCACCATCGACTATACCTTCGGAAGCACTATAGACACGAGTTGCACTCTTATTAGAGCTGATCAGTAGTGCATATTCACCATCCTGTCCGGGATCGAGGAACTGGGGATTACAATTACGTAACAACGATTTAAAAGAGGAAGCGGGATCAATTATGTGCTTGGTTGTCATGACGTGTTTTGCAATTGATGACCCCGGGTTACGTGTGACCGTCTGATTACTGGGCGTGGGTTGCGTCATTGACTTGACTTGGAATGTGTTCGGCCATCCGCTGTGATAATTGACGGTTGGTTCTGTCTATGTATGCGTCACCGCAACTGTAGATGAACTGATATACTGTGTGTGAGACAGAGCTGGATTGCCAACCATTTACATGTTTGTCCAAATCGATTCCACGAGTAGAGGTAATAAGTCGGAGTTGAGCAGCTGGGAATGTGCGGTTGAGAGCTGACTTCAACTTTTGGCGTACATCGTTCAAAAGGTGATCGCTTTTAAAAGATAGTTTGATGCAAACGGCTTTCCGAACGGCTTGGCCGAACACATTCCAAAGTGGTTGGTCAAGTCGATGACGCAACCCACGCCCAGTAATCAGATGGTCACACGTAACCCGGGGTCATCAATTGCAAAACAACTCATGACAACCAAGCACATAATTGATCCCGCTTCCTCTTTTAAACCGTTGTTACGTAATTGTAATGCAAAACGGTTGGCGATAAGTGAGGCGTTGCTAATCCGATTATATAATCCCGTTCTGTGCGCCCAGTAGAACTGAAGATTGTGCGTGAAGGTGAATTCCGAACGATAGTCAGTCGAATCAATCAATATCAATTATCCTACATTACTACTCACAAGTAACTGTGAGTTAAATGCGTATATATAGATATTGTTGAGAAAATAAGGCTGTACTGAACGCGGTATCATGTATGACCTATTTTCGCAATCGCACACACCTGCGCGTTGTCGCGGTGAGATTGATTAGTTCTCTGTGATTCACGCGTATGCCCACCGTGACGGTGAGACGTGTTCTTACTTTCCAGTCTATATACATACACCCGTATAAATGTATATAGGTCAAGTCAAGGAACTGCTTCATCACGCACAAACACACATTGATATTTGGTTGTCAAACATCCAGAGGCAAGTGTGTAAATCGATTAGAAGTATGAACTAGGAATAATCTGATCTGGGCGACACGTAACTCAGGATGCTGTATGATTTTATACAAATGAGCTAGTATGTGTTCTCGAAAAGACGGGAAGCGGTAGAATAAGGCACGTGACCATGTGAGTGTCTTACACATGAGCAGATCACAAGCTGTGGTGTTTTTCCAGACAATGCGGTGACTGGTGTCAGCTCTGACCATGTGTCCGAATGCTTTTTAATATCACACAGATATCTTTTGGTAATGAGCCAAGAAAACATCACTGACGGGGGAGCATAGAATCAGTATAGTAAAATGTAGACATATATGAACCGTTTTATCAAGTGTATGGCTATGAGAAGAGCTTTAGACGGATCTCGTTTGCCCGGACTGCTAATTGATACCNNNATACCGCGTTTGCCCATCCTGTGCTCCACCACGTGAAACTGATCGTGTGTTATTGATGTCATCAAACAGAATTTTGTCGACTGGACAAATTGGTGAGTCTGGGCGCGAGAGACGGGTGATCTGTTCTGTAGAGACACGGTTGCGTGTATACAGTGTGCTCTATATTGATTACACCGAGTTACCTGCATTTTTACTCGTGGCTCTTCTATCATATGCATATAACTGTGTCAAAATAACTGAATTTTTCCTAATTCTAACTTATTGACTATCAATACACTACATTATTTAAAGCACAATCCTACCATTTTGCATGAAAATGAACACAAGCAGCTACCTCAATCGTTTTTAAATTGTTTCAACCTGTGCCAAGCATCACTCACTTCGGGTTGAACGGACTCCATCAAGTTCCGTGGTCAACACGTAGTCATTTCGATGCAGTTTCAGTACATGCCATTCGTTATTGGCTACATCTTTGGGCAACTGAAACATCTGTGAGGGACAGGGAAGTTGAACAATAATTGAAACATTGTAAGACCAATCAATGTATCAGCGAAGCGATTCTCTCTATGGGAAAAGACAATTTTAAAAACTGGGAAACAACAATGGATTTTGAAGCAAGTTACATGGCAATTCACATGCATGGAGCAGCCGATAATTGGCTGTGGCCACGCCTTTACACAATTCTGATCAATTTGCAAATTGGTTAAAGAAATGTATCATAATGTTCAAAGGTGTCCTGCCTCCCCCCCCCAAAAAAAAGAAACCAATCAGGTTTCAGCATTCTTTGGCACATTTCCAAGCTTTTCACAACCAGATAAAAATCAAGTCTTTAGAAAATAATACACCTCGTGAGTTGGTTTTTCCGGATGTTGCCAGACGTTCGTCGGCAATTTGATCTGTTCCGGCCTAATCAATGATTTACCATGAAGCACAACAATCCATTGTGAAATTTGTTATTCTGTGAAACGCACACGTCTGACTGCTCACATTGCGCACACCTGTTTTTCACGTTTGGAAAAAAACTTAGTACTGGCTTTTATATTTTTCATTGGTTTACCAAGTGAGAAGCCAATGGACAGCGGTGACAATGATTGTGTGGCCTGATAGGGAAAGGCTATTTTTCCCTTTAAATGTGACTATGTTCCTCTGTCTTTCCCTATTTTTCTACTTATTTTTATCAACATTGAATTTCCAGATTTTCCCACCGTGAAGGACTTGTACAGCACCACCGGCCATGCTTGATCCTCATTTGATCCATTTTCCCATGACTCGCTACTTTCGAGTTATTTTCCAAGGTTATTGATGGCCGCTCCCTAGACTGTCTACTAACAGATGAACTGCTCGCTTTCTTCACCGTTAACGGTAGAGCAAAATATACAACCTCGCATGAAGGCCTCCCTTCCATGTTCTCTCTGGTCAAGTTTCGGGGGATTTCCTTCCGGTTCTATTGGGACTTGCTTGGGGTACCGCATTGGGGCTGACCAGGGTCGTACGTTTCTCTTCGTTGGTCACTGCTGTCGCAAGTACATCGTTGGTCACGGCTCGTGCTAGTTCAGTTGCATTGTTTGCTCGCAACAGGCCCAACAGGCCCAATTAACCCTAAACCGTGCGAAATAGTCACAAATAATTGCATTACTCGTAGGAAACCAGTGGCCCAGAGAGAAAACGACAGACCCATGGTAATTAGATCGACCAAAGTCTGGTGGAGCACAAATTTCGCGTTATGTCGTGGTCATTGTGGTTCGTGATGTTGCTCCAGGGAACGGAGGTGACAGATGTGTTTTTGCCGTTGGCTAACTGTAATAACAAATGCGTACAGAAAGCTGCCGTAGTTTTCTTCTGATTCCTGAAATCCAGCACTTTATTGTGACAGAATTTTATCAGACCTCGAAAAATTATTTTGATCGCCTTCGTTCTTCATGATCCCTGTCTATTCTTATTTTTTTTTCGGCCGGGTGATCACAAATAAGTCTGGACTAGTTTATCCCCTAAGCTGAAGGCTCTTATTTTCACGAGCTACTACATAAAATGCATCCGACAGATGTACGGGGATGTACAGGTGTTCTTTCGACTATATTGAATTATGAAGTTGCTCGCATTTTATGTTTGTTCAGTTGAAATCATTTTCCAACCAATCACATGAAACCGTTGAGGCTTCAAGATAATCGGTTTACGAAGCTTTTGGAACCAGTGATTCGGTTCTTCATACGTCAATAAAATGGGTTATTCTCTCAAACTATTCACACAAGGTGATAAACGTCAGCCTTGTAGCTCAGGGATAAATGTTTGAAGTCCCGGACCAAAATGTTCGCGATTGAAGTCCTGATACGAGGACACAAAATGTACGCACTGCCGATGAGTCCCAATTCGGACAAAACAGTGATCTTTGTGTCGGTTATCACAAGCATTTTCATCGCCAATAAGCGCATTCAACTAATGGAAAATCAACGAGCTGGCAAGGTGTGAAACCCATACCCAAGGCCATCAACAGCGTCTGGTGCCTGTGAACAATCGAATTCCAAATTTACTACTCTTAAGTATTCTTTTCTCTTCAAGAGAAAAATCGATAACGAATAAATTGGGGAGATAAGAAATATTTTGTTGGTAGGGATGTACATATAGTATATCCAAACCTACCAATTCACTACCATGTATCTTGTACGTGATTTGCACTTGTCCATTGACCAGTGACAGCTCCATTCGTGTGGACTGGTTGAATAACTGGCCCAGAAGTCTTTTCACCACCAGACTGGATTCATCCGAGTGTGATCTGTCGGAACTTGTGGATGAGGGAATCTGTGCCTGGAGCCTGTATTCCGATGGACTGGTGGATAGGAGAAAAACATTTCTCTGGTCCGTACGAAAAGCAAATAGGATATTTTCCATCCGAGATCGACCGCAGTCCGGGGATCCAAGTCGGACCAGTTGACGACCGTTAAATCCCAAAATATTTGTGGCTATCGGTGGCGTTTTTGACAAGAAAAAAAAAACAGTGAGAGAGAGAGCTGTCCTGATTTCAAGGTCACAGTAAAGCTAGTGGGAGCTCATAGTCTGTCAGTGGATTTGATTGATATTATGATCAGTTCGGTTCAGTTGAATGAATCGTGAAAACACAGACCGCATTTGGGACTGCGCGACAAGGTAGGTTAAAGGGAATTTTGAACCACACACACACACACTTTGCGGACCGTCTCCTTCTGCGTTGAGAGTGGGTATTCATCTGCACTGATTTGCACAAATCGAATCGGGGAAAGGTTAGATAGCATAGTGCGTGAATGCCTTGTTACGGGAGCATGTGACTGAGCCGTTTTCCTTTCAGGCTACCCGATTTACCTCCCGCCCATCACACGTTGATAATAACATTGGTTAAAATCCTCATTTGTTTTCATGCGCCATCAGGGTTAGTACCTAATGATAATTTCACATTTCGTTTGGCACACTATGACGGGTGTTTAGCTATCTCAACAAAGCAACCACACTTCCAACCCTACCTAATGGAAGTGACATGGACATGACCGATCCTGTTGCCAGCGTGGCTTCTGTCGAAAGTTACCAAGAGTTGACCCGATTAAATCCGTGCAAGTCCAGAGCTTCTGATGAAGTCTCACCTGTTATCCTAAAGGAATAGTTTGCCGTCATTAATCTAATATTGCGTGAACTTTCAAAAACTGCCGAAAACTAACCTCAATCACCCGAGTATCGAAGAAAGACTTTTCAAAATTTCATCCCATCACATGCACCTCAGTTGTTTTGAAGGTGTTTGGGAGGCTTTTTATTAAAATTTTATCCACACACAGTTGAGAGTTAGCAACCCACATCAGGTTGCATACACTCGTTCCCGAGGTAACCTTGATGCCTTTGCTCATCTTTCCCACTTTGGTTTATGAAACTGGATAAGAAAAGCAGTGCTATTTTCTAGTCTGTAGTGATACCGTCAAAACATCAGGCAGCATTTAACTTCCTACGATGGAGCTCTTGGTCAACTTTTTATACAACTGTCATCAGTTCAAACGCTATAAAGATTATACATCTTCACTGCTGCCCTCTTCAAAAGGCGTACTGCAAGGCCTTATTATACCGTCTTTTCTAGTTCTCGCTTACATCTTCCCTATGCCTGTGAGCATTTATCCTTTTCTTGTTAAGTATGCAGAGGATATAATATTCGGATTGCTCTACGCGAATCAATCATCTCAGAACAATCTACAAGATGACACTTCAGAATGGTGGAGTGGTCTGAACAATGTAATGACGGGATTGTTTCCTCTTTTGAAAGATCAACGTATGATAAACTGTCAAATACCAGCCCTCCTCCATCTACTCTCAGTGATGAGATAGGACCAAAATCGTCTGTCAAATACCTTGATGTTATTTTCAACCATAATCTCACCTGGTACGACCACGTTAATAATGTTTTTCTGAAGGTTAGAAGGCTTACGTTCCATGTGATTCGTCTTAATTCACTTTCTTAAATTATCTCATAAAGCATTTTGTTTTGCTTGTGTTTTGCCCAACTTGCTTTATGGGTTCCCTTTCATCTCCCCCGGTCCTTTTAACAAGGACCAAAAACTCATTTCCTGATCCGTTAAGTTTCTGTCGGTGTGCAGTCATATATCAGCAGCATGCTGTGGAACACCACCTCAAGTTCAGTAGAACATTCTCCAAAAGGATTGTATCTGACATCTCCCATCCCGTTTATCCTACTCTTAGTCAGTATCTTGCTTATTCATCTACCCGTTCTGGTTGTAAACTTATAAAGGCAAACTTCGAGGCTTACATGTACCCTATCATCCAGTATCTCACCAGATTTCTCACGAACCATGAACTAGTTGCAGAAAATCTGCACCAAACGCTAACTAAATCAATGATTAACACAACTGTGTGCCATTGATTTTTCGTGATTTTGTTGCTTGATTATACTTACCAATTTTTATTGACATACTGCGCTTATAATATATATATATATATACTTGGGGTGTATGAAGCGACTGCCTGAATTCACTTGACTTCACTCATAGGTTGGCAGAATGAATCATCTGACAGGCCCGATGACAAGCTTTAAATCACCGTCCGGCGCTTGGTCTGATTACCCGGCAGCTGGTAAACGTGATCGAACTGTCAGACTACTGTATACATACTGCTCACAAATATGAGCATATATCTATACATGCTGTGAAACGTGATGTGGATGCAACAATCGCCACCGATGGTCTAAATAACACTCCTCCAGGACCACCTTGACCATACTGTTGTACTTCCACAGGGTCTGTATTGGACTGCGGAAAGTCAAGTAGTGCACTAAGGGTGTGGGTAATAGGTACATCGGGTCACCTAAGTTAACGAATTCATTTGAAACAGTCAAGTCACGGATTTACAATTGACTCGGGGTCGTTGGTCAAACAATTTTAACAATCTGTTCCCGCTTTCTTTTGTTAAATTCCATTAATCTATTCCCGGGAGCAAATATTTATTTTTGAGTACCGCAAGCATACATCAGGTGCCTCTTTATGTGCACTTAATGCTCACTAAGTTGAATACTAACTCACCAAAACTAAAAGGAGTTCAAAAGCTGTCTACCAACATTGCTGGTGATGATAATTCTACTACTTTTGCTAGTACCACAGATCATAATTGTAATTTTACCACTATTGTTGTCGTGTAGTGCTACTTACATTTGTGGGTAGTATGTTCGCATTGAACAAAAAATATCATTGACAGATTCTAACAACGTTCAAAAACCAACAAGACCTTACAGAGCGAAATAGTGTGTTCAACATTGTAAATACATGAAATGTACATCTTCCGTCGGACTGCATCAACAATATCCTTCGTGCT